CAGCAGCAGCAGCAGCAGCTTCTGCAACTGGTGTTCTTTGATGCAGTACTGCAGTGTACCGACGCGGTATTTAGTGTTTTTCACATTCAGTTGTTTTATCAAAATATTTTCGGTCCACTTGATAAGATGGAATACGGACGGCTGACTGACTGAAATGTTGTTTTTCAGCCGGATCGCTGAACAGTTTCTCTCTGGTGATTGATGTTGATTTGAAAGGGGCCAAATATTGCTCGCCAGCAAATTCCATCGGTCGGTCGGTCGGTCGGTCACATTTTTAGTTGATCGCGCCTGCTTGTTTCCTTCGCTGTGTGCAGACTTTGCCCTCCAATAAACTTCATAAACTTAAGCGGCTTATTAATGAAGCGATTATTCAGCTGGGAGCATTGTTATGAGATTGACCAGTTTATCATTCATTCATTCTGATTATTCTATTCATATTCTCTAGCGAGTTTAAAGGGGTGGTCGTATCAGTGTGCTTTATGATAACGTGGATGACGATAACCACGATAATATCAACGTGGATAAGAATTTGATATTGAGAATATGATGTGATCCAATTATTATTATTGCTGTCATTAACATCTGATCACAGAAATGGTTTCGATCTCATTGGTATATCTGAAACATTCATAACTCTATTAGCTTGATTGGTATTACACCAGGATTCTTCAGATTAATGGCCATGATGGTAGCGATAACAACGAAAACAATGTAACATTACTACGATATACTTGTTCCCGACAACGTAATATTGTTGTATATGACATAGTTCCCGATATCTTATAAAAGTAATAATATAGCANGTTCCTTCATGATTCCAGTACAATACTAATCGAAGTAATGAAAGCAGTGTAATAGTGCCAACCCGTTTGATCTTTTTGAATTCAAGATCAAGGTCATGGCTTATGTTCGGTCCATGGTCATGTGAGAAGTTTTTTTGACAATCTTCATTAGATATTCAATGTTGTGAAATTATTGTATCGCAAATACAAGTGCATTTGGTTCCAAGTACAAGTGCACTTAGTCCAAGTGTAAATGGGTGTGTATGATTCGTAGCAACAGTACAGCGTCACCGGTTGTCCTTTCCTGAATTTGCATCATATTTATGCAATCGTATCGTTTTCATGATTTTTGATTCCTGATCGCAATAATCTTCACCTGTCATCAACAGCGTTTTCGTTTTCTAACAACTGATAAATGATAATAATTCATGTGAACAATGAACAAAAAGCGCATGGTGGTTGATGATTATTTCATTCGTTCATTCAAGTCACATGTGCTCTACTTGGCGAGTTGTTTAATTCATAGAGTCTCAGTCAAGTTTAGAGCGTCATAGATCTTTCTGGTGTTTGCAACTTTGTCTCATGGTCATGTAAGCTTTTCATTTGCTAAGCGATTAGGTGGAAAATGTCAAGCCTTAATTTGTTAGTTCTTTTCTCGTGATGTAGAGATTTCCATCGTAATTGCGCGAGCAGTTTAGTTCCTCATTTGGTACGGATCACTTTCATTAGCCTCTCAAATGCGAACGTTTAATTCGATGTTTTTTTCTAGCAATTATCACTACTTTTTCTGTTCTTCTTGATTTTATTAAAAGTAAAATTTAATCTCATATGAGCGACGAAGCAATTAATTGAAAAGGTCTTCGAATGAAATCTAAATTCCTTTTCCGAAACTATTGGATGACCTTCTCCGGCAATTACTAGTTCTATTCTCATTTCCTTGTCTACTGGGCATTTACCATAAAAGTATTGATGAAGATGACAAATACATTCAAGTAAACTAATTATGTGTCTAAGGATTACTGTATATATTAATATTGTTTCAATAGAGTGTGCGCGTATATGCATTGCGTTTTACTTTTCGCGTTGTATTATACTTGTATTTGTATTTATGTTTCAACAAGTTGCGTTTGAATATAAATATGAAATTCAATAAAATGTGAAAATGTCAAATTAATGGAAACGATTTGTTGCAGAAATGGCTCCGTCTGCAATTACAATCGCTAAAATCCCGAGAAAACGACGAAGTTTCGAGGGCAGCGATCCGAATCAGAAAATACAATGTCTCAGTGAGGTGGAGTACTCAGACGTGCGTCTTGCAAATGCAATTCTATGCAATTCATTATGAGAATTAAGCAATACATGAAACATTAGCAAAAGCAGTGAATGATCAATAGCTATAAAATAAAATAAAATAAAATAAAATAAATGAAACAAACTCACTTTCAGTTAAAACCATTTGAGATGTAATCAGATTGAAACCCAATCATCCATGGCTTGTTCAGTCAGGCTGAGCAAACGTGACTGACTATTTTAGCGTGCGCTGTACCCTTGCAATATGACAATTCATTTCAAGAGAATTACATCGGCAAAACAACTCAACAATTGATTTTAATAAAAATTAAAAAATGAAACGAATTTTGAGATTTTTCAGGATGACTCGTCAAGTCCAAAATCACTATCGCCTCAAATGGACGGTGACCGCCGAGCGCATCACAATGAGCTTGAACGGAGACGTCGTGATCATATTAAGGATCATTTTATGTCGCTGAAAGACGCCATACCGTTGCTTGATGGTGAAAAGGTAACAACCAATAGTTTTCTTGCTTGATTCTCTTCAGTTACCTTCACAAAACCCACTGAATGTATTGCGAACATCAACTGAAACATAGCTGTGGTAGAATTTGCTTCTGTTGACTGAATATGATGTTTTGATTTGGGTACTGAATAAATTTCGTTCGCTTATTTGATAAATTATCACGATGAACATCAATAAAGCTGCGATGCTGTTGTTATTCTCATCTCCTTTTCACATTCAAAGTTCCAACTTTATAGCGCGTGTTCATGATATTTACATGATAGTTGCATAATATTCATGATACTTTATTGTATGCATATGAAACACTGTATTGTCGTAGTAAACTGACCGTTCATTTACTGAAAGAATTCGTGTTTCCTCTGAAAGAACTGAGAGAACCTGTATGAGACTTCGTGTGTCTTTGAAGTTTCCGTGCAGGAACAGAAAATCTAAAGAATTACACATTTATGATGAAGAGCGAGTGAATGCTATTAAATGGCAGCAGCGAAATTTGTCAAAAACGCTAGTTCAACTCTACTGAATGTCCTCTAAAATTTGAAGAACGTTGGAAATCAGAAAAATGAAACTTATTTGGATGATGCAATGAAGAAGTACGGGTTGAGTACGGCACTCTAGAGTTTGAACTCAAACTCTCGAGTAAAGGTCATGCGAACTGCTGAAGCATCTTAGATGCTATCTGAATTCGATAGCGCAATCGCGCTCATTCATACAAATTGATCACTATAGAGCAATCAATACGTTCATATTAGCAATAGGCGGATTGCGATCTTCGAGCTAACCGTCTCCTCAGGTTTGCCCAGTAACATATGAATTTTTTTGCACCGTTC